ATGGGGAGGGGGAAAGGGCGCGGCGCATAGACGATGGTTTACAATAAACCATTCTTTCTAAGAAGCAGTTTCCATTTCTTAACCCTGTTTCCTTCAACCATGAAGGGCAAAGCAAGAGAAACAGGGGGAGGAACTTGCTGGCTGGGGAATTCTGGGAGTTGAAGTCCAGGGGTCTTGAAGTCGGCAAGGTTGCAGCCCTTGCCTAGAGCAGGGGGTCTCCAGACATGGCCACTTTAAGACTTGTGAGCTTCAACTCCCAGAATTCCCCAGCTAGCATAGCTGACTGGGGAATTCTGGGAGTTGAAGCCCACAAGTCTTAAAAGTTGCCAAGTTTGGAGAACCCTGGCCTAGAGGATGGATGGATGGATGGATACAGACAGAAGACAGACAGTCACACAGACACGCACATGGAAGAAAGGGAGTCACTCTTCGGAGTCACTAAGGCTGGTTAGTAAACTCTGATTAACTGCCTTTCTCACGCGGGCACCGGGTTTATGTGGGTGACTTCTGACACACGATGTAATCAGGGGTCGGTCGTGGTTTCTCCCTCGGCAGGAAATGGGGGGGGGGGAGAACTCAATGCACTCTTGGGGAGCCGCCTTTCTTCCTTAGCCATGCTAGCTCCTAGCCATGCGCAGAGTTCCTCAGGAGAGCCCCCGCTGTCCAGGCGCCCCCACTGGTCATTCCCCCCATCCAAAGGAGTTTCAGGAGGAAACGAGGCCATCCACCTACCCAGCCCCCCTGGCCTGGGCCTCTACGGACAGGGCAGCAGGGGGGGCTGTTTTGGGCTGGGGAGAAGGACGGTCCGGTTTGAATAGAGGCCAGGCCGGGCAGGTGCTGGGCCAGCGTTTGGAAATACTACTGACTGCTCTCTCCCAACCCCCCCTTCCATCTGCTAACCACCCCAGAAGGCGCACAGCTTGGATTAGATCCTACACACTCACATGTGCAGCCTACTTAGTCCTCCGGGAGAGTGCACAGATTCATTCACTTGCACGCTCATGACAATATTCGGGGGGGGGGGAAGAGGGGCTAATGTGCTTTCTTGCCCACCTGGGTGTAAGCACCAGGCAATTGCTTTCTCATCCAAAAGCCAAGGCAGTCCTAAGCTGCATGAAGAGAGTGATAAACTCAAGATCACCTGAAGTGTTAGTACCACTTTATAAGAACTTGGTGAGACCACATTTGGAATCCTGCCTCCAGTTTTGGTCGCCAGGATGTAAAAAAAAAGATGTCGAGATTCTAGAAAGAGTGCAGAGAAGAGCAACAAAGATGATTAGGGGGCTGGAGGATAAAACATATAAAGGACAGTTGCAGGAATTGGATGTGTCGAGTTTAATGAAGAGAAGGACCGGGGATGACATGATAGCACTGTTCCAATATCTGGGGGGCTGCCACAAAGAAGAGGGAGTCAAGCTATTCTCCAAAGCACCAGAAGGCAGGAGAAGAAGCGACGGATGGAAACTTTTCAAGGAGAGAAGCAACCTGGAATTAAGGAGAAATTTCCTGATAGTTAGGACAATTAACCAGTGGAACAACCTGCCTCTCCAGGAGATGTGAATGCACCAACACTGGAGGCTTTTAAGAAGAGACTGGACAGCTATTCGTCCGGAATGATATTGCTCGGGCAGGGGGTTGGACTAGATGACCTCCAAGGTCCCTTCCAATTTGGTTATTCTGTTTTCTAATGAAAACAGGCACCCAAAAGTCCTCCCAAGATTTGCTCTTGGGCCCCACCTGCAGGTCAGAAGGCCCATTGCAGGAAGCCAGTGCTTGAAGCTGCATCTTTAAAAGAAGTTTGATCAAAGTGGAATAAAAATAATCGGAAGCTGCCTGCCAGCATGCAGGGGTCCACCCCCCTCTCCGCCACAAAAAGCAGCCTTTCCGTTTACATCTTCCAGGGCCCTCCTGTCTTTGTGGGGCATGTTTGCAAAGCAGGAAATTTGCTCATACGTTCCCTAACCAGATAACCCAAAACAAACGCTTGTTAGCTTGGCTCAAAACAAGACAAAACATTAAAAAAAAAAAAAAAAAAAGGTCAGAGAGCACACGTGTCACAGTTTTTGCACCGCCACCTGCAGTGTGTGTGAGGGGAAGCCCCAAAGCCAGCCGCACGAGCGAGGGAGGGTTGTGAATTGCGTGGTGTGGTTTCACCTTCACTCAGCAAAACATAGGAGCTTTTGCGTACAGCCGAGGTGGTTAGTGGGTTGAAAGCCAACAGAAGCCCTGAATTGACTCTGGCATTTTTCTCAAGCCCCCAGGTAAGGGAGGGAGGGGGTCTCCTGCCTTGCCAGGACCACTAACAGCCAGGACAGGTGCGCGTGCCTCAGTGTCCCCTTTGCAATATGCAGCAATGACAAACTGTGGTGGGCTGGGGTCACACGGATCACTTGGAGTTGGCGGGGGTGTGCAAACTGAGAACAGGTAGTCTCGTGACCAGAATTTCCATTGCTAAGCAAAAGGGGTTGTTAAGTGAGCCTTACTTGATTTTTTGACCTTTTTTTGCCATGGCTGAGGGAAATGCTGCCGTCGTTATGTGAATCACCCAGTCGTTAAGTGAATCCAGTTTTCCCTGCTTTCCTGGGTCAGTGGAAGCAGCTTGGATTGACCCCTGCACCTGTGGCTCTCCACTTTTTCTTCACCCCAGGCCCCTTTCAAATACCTTTTGTGGCCACGGACCCCCAGTTTTGGTCCCTATGCTGTAAAAAAGGGGCTGAGAGCCTAGAAAGTGCGCAGAGCAGAGCAACAAAGATGGGGGCTAAATCGCATGATGAACAGTTGAGGGAAATGGGAATATCTAGTCCAGAGGTGCTCAACCTTGGCAACTTTAAGACTTGTGGACTTCAACTCCCAGAATTTGCTGGTTGAGGAATTTTGGGAGTTGAAGTTGCCAAGATTGAAGATTCCTGCTTTAGTCTAACGAACTAGATTAAACTAGACTGGACTAGGAGCGACATGATAGCCGTCTTCCAATATTTGAGGGAAGAGGAGGGGGTCAACCAAGCACCAGAAGCCAGGACAAGAAGCAACGGGTGGAAACTTATTAAGAAGAAAAGCAACCTGGAACTAAGGAGAAACTTCCTAACAGCGAGGACAATTAACCAGTGGAACAGCTTGCCACCAGAAGCTGTGGGGTGCTCCATCCCTGGAGGTTTTTAAGAAGAGATCGGACAGCCATTTGTCTGGAATGGTATAGGATCTCCTGCTTGAGCAAGGGGTTGGACTACTAGATGATCTCCAGGGTCCCTTCCAGCCCTAGTCAATCCCCTTGGGATTAAAAGGGGGCTGCTGCGCCATTCTGGGAAACGGCCCCCTCCCCACATGGAGGGAGGGGGAGAGAAGAAGCTGCCTTAGAAAGCCCAAAGAGGGAACTTTTCGCGTGCTGACACAGCTCCCAGCCTGTGGCTTGGCACCGGCTGGATTTTTCCAAGAGCTCACAGCCTCCCTGGGCTTCCGAAGGGGGGGAAACCGAGGCGCAGCCAAAGCGGCTTAGAACAGGGTGTTCTGTTGCTGGCTGCCGGAGCTTCCTGTCCCTCTCCCTGCCCTTGCAACCAGAGGGGGGGGGTCAGGGGGGGAGAGGAAGGAGGCAGGGTTGCTCTGGAGAGAAGCCACCCAGCTGCATGCAAAAATGCTGGACAACGAGAAAGGAAAAAGGCTCTCTCTGATGCAACTGGGTGGCCGTAGCAAGAACTGGACGTCCTACCCCCTTCTGCTCCCGCGCCTGGAGTAAAGCATTGCAAAAGCTGCGCTATGGAATTGCAGGAGGAACCAAGCGGGGCAGCCAGGCCCCTTGCCTTTCTCCCCCTCCTCCCCCCCCCAGGAGCAACATAAAGCACCCAAGTGTTCGGGGGGGGGGGCTGGATACCCAGTTTCTTCTGCCCAAGTTTGCCTTGTCCTGTGGGATCCCACAACACAGAGGGCCCCTTCCCAATTATGGAGCAGCCTCCTTCTGCAGGGGGCTTGGATAGAGGAGGGGGGGGGTCCTGCTTCATCCCAGAGGGGAGCTGCTGCTGGGGGAGATTTCCCTCGTCCAAAGTGGTGTGCAGAAGGCCACTGAGCCCATCCCTGGGCACCTCCAGACGGAAAGGATTTGGAGCAGGAAGTGCTTAGCAAACAGCAGGGGAAGGTCCGTGAGTTCCTCGAGCCTGGCTCAGCATGAGGCAGCCCCAGGCGCGACCTCACAGGCTTAAGCTGAAGGGTGTGCAGACGCTTTTGAGGGATCCACTTCTGATCCTAAAGAGAGAGGTTTGGCTCTTGATAATCACGAGCAATTAAAACGTACAAAGACCAAGCTGGCAAGGATGGAAATCTCGCACAAAAAGATGGAAAAGGACACGCACGAGCCCCAAGAGCACCTCAGGAGAAACAGGAATTGGCTCTTGGATCAATGCACTCATTTCCACACTGGCACGGGGCTTGCCCACGGCCTCGGCCAAGCCCCTTCTTCCAGTCTCTTCCAGGGCTTTCCTATTTTCTGGGATTCAACAGACCAGCTCCTCTCCAACTGAAGAGACTGCTTGGTGGGCTCCTAAACCGGTCAGGAGAAAAACTTGAGAAGGCCCCAAATCGCCCCAATGGGCAGAGAGGAAAGAGCGTGCTGAACTTGAATGAAACTCCGACGGAAGAGCACAGGTTGGACCGTGGGGTCCTTCGTGGTCTCTCTGAGCTTGGTTGCTTTCTTGCAAACATTTCATCACCCTACTAGCTAACATCTTCAGCGCTAAAAAGGAAGGAGGAGGAGGAGGAGGAGAAGGAGGAGGAAAAGGAGGAGGAGGAGGAAAAGGAGAAGGAGGAAGAATGTGGAGTCCCTGGTGCTTTCTGAACCTGGCTCTTTTCTTGCAGACACTTCATACCGAACTAGATAACATCATCAGTGCTAGAAGGGAGGAGGTTTGTAGGGAGGGGGAGGAGGAGGAAGAGGAGGAGGACTGTGGGGTCCTTGGTGCTCTCTGAGCTTGGTGGCTTTCCTGCAGACATTTCATGACCCAACTAGTAACATCATCTGTGCCTTTTTGAACTAAACGCATCAGGCAGATTTTATTGTATTGCAAGTTCTTCAATCAAGTGTAACAGAAAAGTGAGCAAAGAAAAAAAAAACGTTTCTAGAAGCTTCCTCATCAACCCAGAAATCATCTTTTTACAGATACACACTTGATAACGAGGTCCACAAAACATTGTATTTGTGCCCAGATCCACCTTCTGGGTAGTAAGTTGGAGAAAGACATTTCGCCTCTTCTATCCGCCTGATGCGCCTTTGGGATAAAGTGATCTTTTAAAAAAGAATCAGTTCTGAAATCTCACCAGGCTTCCTCCTAAGTGAAAATAAACATAGGAAAAACTGGCCAGCTAAACTCTGGCAGAGCTCTGCGGCCAGCAGGTGGCTGAATTTTTGTGACTGCCGCAAAGGCGATCAGAAGCTTGGAGAGCTGCACAGACAGGGCTGAATAAATATGGAGACGAATGGAAGGCAGGACCGAGAACCGTCATTCTGCAACCCATTTGGCCCTTCTGGGATCAGAATCCAGGCATGGCGCGAAGAGCCCGCAGATCACAAGGTCCCCTGCGAGGGCATCTTGCCCGTGATCTTGTTGGAGCACTCGAGCAGGGCGTTGTGGATGTCCTTGGCGCAGGAGATCTGGGACTTGATCATGCTGAGGTACTGGGTGTAGGGCAGGCTCTCTGCCTGGACCGCGTCGGGCTTGGTGGCGGTGGGCACGAGGGTGGGCGAGTGCTTGGTGCTGTCGAAGCTCTGGGAGAGGCACTCGTAGGCCAGGCGCTGGGCAGGGGGAGAAAGGGGACGTGTGAGAACAGAGCGGATCAGATGTTACCCTGCAGAGGGCTCAGAGGGTGTGTGTGTGTGTGTGTGTGTGTGTGTGTGTGTGTGTGTCTGCAGACAGCAGCCCGTCCCTTCCTGAGAAAGACTAAGACAATGCTTCCTGACAGGGAGGGCAATTAACCAGTGGAACGGCTTGCCACCAGAGGTTGTGGGTGCTCCATCACTGGAGGTTTTTAAGAAGAGACTGGACAGTCACTTGTCTGAAATGGTACAGGTAATCCTCGACTTACAACCACAACTGAGCCCAAAATTTCTGTGGCTAAACAGTTTATTTGTTAAGTGAATTTTGCCCCATTTTATGACCTTTCCCGCCACAGTTGTTAAGTGAATAATCTGGCTTCCCCCATTGACTTTGCTTGTCAGAAAGTCGCAAAAGGGGATCACGTGACCCCAGGACACTGCGACCCCTCATAAATGCAGGCCAGTTGCCAAGCGTCTGAATTTTGATCACGTGACCATGGGGATGCTGCAATGGTCGTTAAGTGTGAAAAACGGCCATAAGTCTTTTTTTTTCAGTGCTGTTGTAACTTTGAACGGTCACTAAATGAACTGTGGTAACTGTATAGCGTTTCCTGCTTGAGTAGGGGGTTGGACTTCACTAGAAGACCTCCAAGGTCCCTCCCAGTCCTGTTTTTGTGCAGAGAGGCAGCTCCTTCTCAGAACCACATCCGAGTCTCCTTAACGTGGTGCCCATCCCCAGCTGCACCCAGCAGAGATGAGGAGTACAAAAGAAAAAAGGGGGACAAAATCTTGAACCCCAGCAAGGTGCACTTCATCAGGCTGGTGAACGAGAAGGGAGGCCCACCTCCTCCTGGACTTACCAGACAGAGTTCCAGCTGGTCGCACAAGGCGTAAAATTCCTCCAGGTTTTTGTCTACTCTTTGTACTGGAACTTCACTGATTTTCCTGAGGAAAAGGGAAAGAAAGAAAAGTTTGCTGTTTTGGCAGAATGAAAGGGGGAGGTGGGAGGGGGAGGGAAGGGGTGTGTGAACTCACTGCCCGCTGTCGATGTTGGTGTTCTGGAGAAAGTTCTGAGCAGCCACCTTCATCAGGTTCTGAAACGGGGACGGGAGGAGGAGAGCATGAAGTGGGCTTCCCGGCAGGGACCCCCCAAAGAGGAGAATCTCTGCAGCTCAGGGTGGAAATGAGGGGTCCTTTGTCCTCTCTGAGCCTGGGGGGTTTCTTGCAGACCTTTCATGACCCAACTAGGTGACGTCCTCAGTGTTCCCAAGGACGGTGTTTGCTCCCGGTCCATATACAATAGCTTGCCCTGCCGCTATAGGGACGGCAGGGATTCACACCAGGCGGTCAAACGGAAAACCATCCCTTAATCAGGGAGTCACCAAGAAACCCCCCCATAAGTGAGGGGTGGACTACAACTCCCAGAAACCCCCCATGAGTGAGGGATGGACTACAACTCCCAGAAACCCCCCATGAGTGAGGGGTGGACTACAACTCCCAGAAACCCCCCATGAGTGAGGGATGGACTACAACTCCCAGAAACCCCCCATGAGTGAGGGGTGGACTACAACTCCCAGAAACCCCCCATGAGTGAGGGGTGGACTACAACTCCCGGAAAGCCGCCAGCCGAGGGGCTCCCACGGGGAAGATAGACCCCGCCGCGCACCATGGGCCCCGGAGTCCGCTCACCTGCAGGCTCTCCTTCAGCTGCGGCAGGAGGAGGCGGAAGCGCTGCACCGGGTCGAAGTCCTGTGCCTGCGCGGCCACCTGCATGCCGGAGGGTGCCGGGCCCGCGGTCAGAGGAGGCGCCCCCACCGCGGCCTGCTGCCCCCCCGGGCCCGTCCCAGGTCCGGAGGGCCCCCCGGGGCCCATCAGCGGCGGCTGCGAGGGCGCCTGAGGCGGCTGCGGCTGCGGCAACTGCGGCTGAGACGGCGCCGCCATCTTCGGCCGCTCCCGCGAGACTACCCTTCCCGGCGGGCCCCGCGCGGAAGCGCTGCGCGATGACGCGAGGATTCCCGGCACGCACCGCGGGAGCGCTTCCCCTGACGCGATCCCGAGAGCGACGCTTCCCGGCAGGCCTTTCGCGGAGCGGGGCCCTCTGGGAGTTGCAGTCCCGCCATGCTTAGCGCGGAGGACCCCGGCGGGCTCTCGGACTACGCTTCCCGGCGCTCCCCGCGGCAGTAAAGGCCTGGCGTCTGCGCCCTCGGAAGCTCGGGGAAGCCGCTGCCATGGCGCCCACGATCCAGACTCAGGCGCAGCGGGAGGAGCCGGGCCACAGGTGGGGAGGGGGCGCCTCTGGGACTGGGGGGGGGGGTCGGCCCATCTCCCCTCCCCACTTTCCCTCCTCCGCGGCCATTAACTCTCCGCCCGTCCGCTTCTTCTTCCCCGCAGGCCCAACTCGCACCGGACGCTGCCCGAGAGGTAAGGCGCCCGCCCGTCCGTCCCACCGGGGGCTCCGGCCCCGCGAGAGGCAATGGCGGCGGCCTCCCGGTCACCCCTGCCCTTGTGCTTCGGCCCGCAGGTCCGGGGTGGTGTGCCGCGTCAAGTACTGCAACAGCCTCCCCGACATCCCCTTCGACCCCAAGTTCATCACCTACCCCTTCGACCAGAACAGGTGAGACCCCCCCCCCGCGAGGCCCCGCTCTCTCTTTTAGGGGAGGGAGGTTCGATCCCATGCTCACCTGGCTGCCAGGTGTGCGTTTCTGAGTGAGACTCGGCTTTGGACAGTTGCCTGGGCATTAAGGATGAAGGTTTTTCTTGCTTCCTTCCCTTTCCAGGTTCGTGCAGTACAAGGCCACTTCTCTGGAAAAGCAGCACAAACACGACTTGCTGACGGAACCTGATTTGGGAGTTACCATAGATCTAATAAACCCGGATACTTACCGCATTGACCCCAACGGTGAGACGGACTCTCTGTACACCCATCACAATGGAGGGTTAAACATGTGTCTGCAGAGGGATGCTGGTTGGGGAGATGTGCCTGTTTTGTGTGCGAGGAAAACCTGCATTATAGATTTCTGGTAGCCACTAAACAAATAAAGAGATAATACAGCTATGAGGGTGAATGCTGTGCATTAAAATCTCTTACAGTTAGTCCTCGCTTACTGACCACTCGTTTAGCACACATTCAAAGTTCCAACAGCACTAGATCAGTTCTTTGACGTACTCTGATCGGTACTACTTATGACTGGTCCTTGAAGTCCCAGCTGTCATGCCAACCCTGCAGTCACATGACCGCAATCTGGGCACTTGGCAGCTGACTTGCACTTAAAACAGTGGCAGTAGCCACTTACCTGCCTACCTGTTTGTGAATCACCTGGGATTTGCAACTTCCTGCCGGCTTCTCCACTGACTTTGTGGTGCTTTACATTGCTTAGTGAGGGAAGTTCTGGTCCCCATCACTGCCGTTAGGTGAAGACTACCTGAACTAAATGCAAATGAAATAAAATGTGCACATCTCCATAGCAGAATTCCAGGAGTTTAGCTAGAGAATGCAAAGAGGCCGGACTGCATCTCTACCCTTTGCAGACCTCTCCGAGCACGTTCAGTGGAGGTGATTCAACCTGTGACCATGTTTGATTTCTTTTAGTTCTTCTAGATCCTGCAGATGAGAAACTGCTGGAGGAGGAGATCCAGGCACCCACCAGTTCCAAGAGGTAGTGCAATTCTGCTGGCCTTGCTCCAGGGTCTGCTGCCTCTCTCTCTCCCACGCCAGCATCAGATTGTTCAGAGTTTCTTGCAGTTGTCCTTCATGGCGTGGCTCGTTTAAGTTATTTCCTCCTTTGTGAGAGAGTCTCTAAGCTGCCTGGACCTTAACATCTGCCTCTAAGTCTCCACAACTCTCCTCAGCCTCTCCATGCTGGCAGCTGCTCCATTCCCTCTCTCTCATGCATACCTACTTGTTAAATTAATATACCACCCATCTCGCTATCCAAAGCAACTCTGGCTATATATGCATAAGGGCACAAATGGCCTGTCCCTTTTGTAATACTAGTCGGTGTGGGGAAGATTTGGCATTCCTGCATCGCGAGACCCTCCTCAAAGCCCCTGCTGGCTGGGAACAGATGGAGCTTAACCAGATGGGCTTGGAGAAGGCAGCTGTGGAGAAGAACAGCTCTAGCCAGACTTTTGGGTTTTTTCCCCCCTTCAGATCACAGCAGCACGCCAAAGTTGTGCCATGGATGCGGAAGACCGAATACATCTCCACCGAGTTCAACCGCTACGGAGTCTCCAATGAGAAGCCGGAGGTTAAGTGAGTAGCAACATCACTTGTGGTGTTCAGCAATCATTCGGCAATTATTTTTCTGTGCAGCTTTACCCTAGCAAAGACGTTGGCCTTAGCTCAAAAGTAATGGTCTCCCTTTCAGTGCCCAGCCGGAGTGGATTCTATATGTTGAATGTTAAATCTGTTTGGTATTTGGGTCACTTTTTTCTCTCTTTTTGTACACTTATTTTTTTTCTTTTTTGTCATTAGTGCCGAATGTATGCTTTTGTTTTTTTTCTGTTTTGTATTTTATCTTTTACAATAAAACAATACATAATTTTTTTTTTAAAGTAACCATCTCACTAAGTCCAACACAAGGGAGCCAGGCTCTTTGTCCCATGGCTGAGACGCCCTTTCTGAGCTCTCCCCCACCTTGTTCGGTTTAGGATCGGTGTGTCTGTCAAACAGCAGTTCACCGAGGAGGAGATTTACAAGGACCGAGACAGCCAGATCGCAGCCATTGAGAAGACCTTTGAGGATGCTCAGAAGTCAGTGAGTGCTCTTCCTCGTCCTCCCTCTCAAAAGAAAATCTCCTTTCCTCTCGTTGTTGTGCCTTTTCAGAGACGGAACCTGTGCAGAAAGAGAGAAACCAGCAGAATAAGAATAACAGCGCTGGAAGGGGACCTCAGAGGTCTTCTAGCCCTGTAGAACGGTAGAATCGGGGTGTCCAACCTTGGCAACTTTAAGACCTGTGGACTTCAACTCTGCTGGCTGGGGAATTCTGGGAGTTGAAGTCCGCAAGTCTTAAAGTTGCCAAGGTTGGACACCCCAGCTGTAGAAGCTTGCTGGAGCCATTTTTATTCTCTTTGTATTGGTGGTTTAAATGCACTCTCTGATTTGGGGGGGGGGCAAAGGGTGCTTTGCAGAGCCTACATTGAGCTACAGCTTTCAGGCCTAGCAAGTGTGGTTGTGTTCCCTTTTTCTTGGGTGTCTCCTAATGGGAAACTCTGCTCCTCTCTCCACCCCCCCCCCAAGATTTCTCAGCACTACAGCAAGCCTCGCGTTACTCCAATGGAAGTCATGCCGGCCTTTCCTGACTTCAAGGTAAGGGAAACCAAGGTGGCCCCAGGGAAGAGCCGGCTAGGTGAAGGGTCAGCAGCCTGCCCCTCCCCAGAAGGACTTGCTGGGCTCTGAGCTGCTGTTCTCATTCTCTCTCTTTCTCTCCTCCCTGCCAGATGTGGATCAACCCCTGTGCTCAGGTCATTTTTGACTCTGATCCAGCACCCAAGGACACCAGCGGGACAGCAGCTCTGGACATGATGTCACAAGCTATGATTAGGTGAGACCATGGTTCATTTATAATAATAATAATAATAATAATAATAATAATAATAATAATGATGATGATGATGATGATGATGATGATGATGATAAAGTTGGAAGGGACCTTGGAGGTCATCTAGTCCAACCCCCTGCTCAGGCAGGAAACCCTATACCATTTTGGACAAAAGGCTGTCCAGTTTCTTCTTAAAAACTTCCAGTGTTGGAGCATTCACCGCTTCTGGAGGCAGGTTGTTCCACTGGTTAATTGTTCTCACTGTCAGGAAGTTTCTCCTTAGTTCCAGGTTGCTTCTCTCCTTGATTAATTTCCACCCGTTGCTTCTCGTCCTGCCCTCAGGCGCTTTGGGGAATAGCTTGACTGCCTCTTCTTTGGGGCAGCCCCTGAGATATTGGAAGACTGCTATCCTGTCCCCCCTCGTCTTTCTCTTTGTTAAACTAGACATACCCAATTCCAGCAACCGTTCCTCATATGCTTTAAAGTAGGGAGGGGGAGGCCAGCCTCAGTTTCCTGGCCAAGGGCGTTTGCTTGTTTGTTTGTTTTTTGTATGCTGCATTTATTATTTTTACAAATGACTCAAGGCAGTGAACATACCCAACACATCTTTCTCCTTCTAGTTCCCCCACAATAACCCTGTGAGTTGGGTTAAACAGAGAGAGCAACTGGCCCAAAGCCACCCCGCCGGCTTTCATGCCTAAGGCGGGACTAGAACTCACCGTCTCCCACTTTCTAGCCCGGTGCCTTAACCACTAGACCAAACTGGCTCTCCTTGTGTCTTGACCTTTGGCACTTCTTCAAATATGGGCTTTTTTGGACCATCCTGGATCCCTGCCCAGCTCTTTTAAGACCTCAAGCCGAAAGAACTATTTCTCTCTCATAATCTTCACCCATCTCCTTTTCTATGGCGGTGCCAGTGAAAATTTTGCTTGGCACCGGGGCTGTTCTGTCCAAAGCAGCAGGGAGCTGACGTGCCTCTTTCCCCCTTTCCCTCCACCTCCAGGGGCATGATGGATGAAGAGGGCAACCAGTTTGTGGCCTACTTCCTTCCCGTGGACGACACGATGCGGAAACGCAAACGGGATCAAGACGAGGAGATGGATTACACACCCGAGGATGTGTACGTGAGCGCAGAAGCCAAGCATGGTCTTGCGGAGGAAGCAGGAATGCAAGCAAGGCTAAACTCAACCTGGAAGGAAGCCCAAAGGGGCATCGTGGCTGGAATAAGGGTTCTAGTTTTGCTTCCCGTAGCGGAAAACGTGGGTCAGCCAGCCGCACGCAGCTTGGCTTACATTTTCCAACCGGCTTAGTCTGAATTTGGCCTTTCAGAGTCATGGATTAAAATGACATCTTTTCCCTTGAGCTCTTCACTTCACTTCAGGGGGATAGAAATGTTAAGTTGCACGGACTGGTTAATTCTGCTCTTGAATTTCGTACGTGCCTCTTCCTACCTTGGTTTGCGGTGGCAAAATAGCTCTAGCCCGCCGATGGGATTTGGGTAAGCGAGAAAATCAATCCAGTTTTAGGAAAAGCGTGGGAAGGAGTTGGTTTTCCCCGGTTTCCTTTGCCCACAAGCAGAGGTGAAACTCTCCTCTCTTCCATCCCCCCCCCCAATTAGGTACGAGTATAAAATCGCCAGGGAGTACAACTGGAATGTGAAGAACAAAGCCAGCAAGGGCTACGAAGAGAACTATTTCTTCATCTTTCGTGAAGGCGACGGTGTCTATTACAACGAACTGGAGACCAGGTGAGGCGGGGGGGGGAGTTTGGGGCAGGGCTGGGGTACCGAAGAGGGGGCTGCGGGGGCCTTGGTAGGCTAAGTGGTGTGGCGAGACCTCCCTGGGCCGATTGGTTGTTTGATGAGCCAGTTTCCAGCCCTCAACATCTACAGGGGGTCCTCGACTTACAACCACAATGGAGCCCACAATTTCTATTGCTAAGGGAGGCAGTGCACAAGTCTTAAAAGTTGCCAAGGTTGGAGACCCCTGCTCTAAAAGGAACTGTTGTGGCTGTGGGTCCTCAGATAAAAGGGGCAGGGGGGAACTGAGATGCTGGCGAGGGGAGGGGAGGGGTCCAGGCCCCTTCCTCCCTTTCTGACCTCCTTCTCCCCGGCAGAGTGCGGCTCAGCAAACGGCGAGCCAAGGCCGGGGTCCAGTCCGGCACCAACGCGGTGCTGGTGGTGAAGCACAGGGACATGAACGAGAAGGAGCTGGAGGCCCAGGTAGGGCTGGGCGTCATGGCAGGCAGAGGGAGCCCACGGCTGGGCTCCTCCCCATGGCGGAGGGAGGGAGGGGCCTTGTGCTGGGTGTCTCACTCGGGCGCCTTCACATCCCTCCTCGCAGGAAGCCCGCAAAGCGCAACTGGAGAACCACGAACCCGAAGAGGAGGAGGAGGAGGAGATGAGCAAAGTGGCGCAAGTCTCAGGTAAGGGGTCTTTCTCCCAGAGCCCAGCCTGCCCCATAGAGCAGGCCTGGGCCCCTTTTGGCTGGCTTTAGCTCAGTCTCAAATTAGAAATCAGATGTGAGTAAGTGCACACCAGGCGCACAATACAATTTTCTTTCGAAGGCAACTGCTATTCCTGTTGAATTTACACGTGTGCGTGCGTGCACGCCCCACACCTTCACAGCCCTAACCTTAACCTTAACTGTGGTTTAATGATTATTGGCGGTGGGACTTTCCTGTGTGTTTTACTGGGGTCCACAAACCAGTCTGAAAGAAAAGCTGACACCTTTGCTTTCCTTAGCGAAGAATTGTAAGAATGTGTACCTGACCTCAGTTTTTGGGCCCGACTCCAAGGGGACCAAACCTTAACCACCCCAGTTTCTCAGGTGCCCCCCCCCCAGAGGAAATTGACTGCCCACCCCCATCCCTCCCCACCAGAGAGGGGGGCTTCTCCCGTGTTTAACGCACTCTCCGTCTCCCCCACTCCAGACGAGGAGCCAGAGAAAGGCAGTGAGAGCGAGAAGGAGGCCAGCGAAGCCGAGGAGGAGGAGGAGGAAGAGGAGGAAGAGGAGGAGGAGGAGGAGGAAGGCCGCTCGCCCAGCGTGGGTGAGGGCGCCGTGGCCGAGGAGAGCGAGGAGGACGAACGGGCAGCGCGAGACAAAGAGGAGATTTTCGGCAGTGACGATGACGAGGAAGACTCCGAGCCGGAGGGCGGCCGGCCAGAGGCGGACGAGGAGAGCGGCAGCGAGGAAGAGGAGGAAGAGGAGGACGAACACGGGGGGAGCAGCCGGCAGCACCGGGGCAACCGCAGCCCCTTTTTCAGCGGCAGCGACCGCTCCAACCACGAGGACGAGGAGGAAGGCGAGGCCAGCGCCAGCGACGCCCCTTCGGAGTCGAGCAGCGATAGCAGCGACAGTGACTGAGCAGCCACGGAGGCCGCTCGGAGGGGCGACTGGGACTATTGGGGGAGGCGACGGGGCCTGGATTGGCCGGGCCCCTTCAGGGGTCCAGAGTGTCCTTTCGCCAGCTCTGCCACCTGCGGCCGCCGGGCTTGGTGGGCTGGGCAGTTGGCACTGCTGGGGGAACTTGTGCTTCAGCCCCAGGTATTCCCTGCTGTACATAAGGACAGGCATCCCCTTTCAGTTGCAATAAAGTGTGTTTTTTTCCCCTTTTCTTTCTTGATTTTCTGTGCCAGGGGATGGATTTGGGATTTCAGGGCAGGGTTTGGGCACCGGGGTGGGGGTGGGGGTGGGTGAGGATAGGGCGGGTTTCTCTATGCAGGTGTGCTGGACTACAACTCCCATCACCCCTTGGGCCATATGGCCCTCCAGGTCAACAACGATGCTCTAGATGAGGTCCATGGAGGAGATTGTGAGGTGCAGAAAGACCTGTGTCTGCAGCCCAGAGGGGAGCCTCCCATCTGGGGGCCTGCAGCCCCTTCGCCAAGGGGTCTTGATTGGGGGGGGGTTCCTTGCTCAGCAATGGGGCAATTTGGGGTTTGGGAGGGGTCCGGAGCCCCTGGCCTGCTGCTAGGAGACCAGAAGTCCTCCGGGAGGGGAAGGAACTTGGCAAGGCCACCTTCCAAGTAGGGATGGGGGGTGGGTGGGTGAAGCAAAGTGGTGGTTGGGGGGTGGGATTTTGAGTGGGTGGGAGAAACGGGGCAGCTTTGCTGGGTTCCAAGGAGGGGGCGGGCTGCAGCTGTGCCCAGCAGAGGCTCCGTGCGCCCACTGAAGGGCTTGGCCCCCTGGGGGAGGGGTTCCTGGGGTCCCTGCCGGCTCTTGGCCCCCACACGGACGGGGCTTCTCCAGGGGGGTCGGTCGCTCCGCGGGTCTTTCCGCTCCTCCAGCTGAGGCGCCCCCCCTTGGCTGCTGCCTCCTTCCTCGGCATTATGGGTCTCCGAAGGAGGGGGGGGTCTTTCAAGTCTTCCAGTCTCCTCCTCCCACCTTGCCCAGCATGATGGGCTCTTGGCTCTTAACAGCCTCCTCTTTCACTCCTTCCTTCCACCTGGCTGAGCTTTATGGGCTTCCCAAAGGAAGACGGGCCCCTTAGCTCCTCCGACCTGCTCCTCCTCTCCTTCCTTCCTTCCTTCCTTCCTTCTCCATTTCTCTCCCTCCCTTCCGGCTCCAGCGCTGCGCGGGGCGAGGCGAGGCGAGGCGGGGCGAGGCGGCTCTGCGGCCGGACGGGCGGCGCTCTCGGCGGCGCTTCCTCTCCGCGCCGCCACCCAGGAAGTGCCCGCCTCGGCCGCAGCCCCTCCGGATCGCGCGGGCGGCGGGGCGCATGGACGGCGGGTGCGCGGGGCCTGGGCGGGCCGGGGCTCCCGGGGAGGGTCGCCTGTCGCCGGCGGGGCGCGTGGGCTGGGCGGCCGAGGGGNAGGGGAGGGGGCCGGCCGGGCGGGGGGGGCGCCCTAGAGGCCCCCTCCCCTTTTAGCCTGCCAAGCAGGACTTGGCGAGGCCGGCCTCAGCCGGCGAGGGGATCGGCCCGCACCCGGGGTGGCAGAGCGGGGGGGTGGGGGTGGGGGGGCGCTTTGCAAAGAAAACCCGGGTCGGTCCTCCTCCCGTGACCCCCCCGCCCCCCGTGGCAGACGGGCAGCCCTTGCAGGGACCCCCCCCTCGGGACTGGCCCCTCTCTGGCTTTGCAGAGCGACCCGGGCGGCCTCTGAACTGCCCCGGTCTGGCGGGGGGGGGGGCGAGGCGGCTCGGTGCCCGGGCAGGGGCCCAAGCCGGCTTAGCATCGCACAAAGAGCCGCTTGTTGTTGTGGAGGTTGTGGGAGGAGGAGGAGGAGGGCGGTGCGTTCCTGGGGTGCCAAAGCCTCCCAGAGGCCCCGTGGCACCTTTTCTGGCAAACGAGTCTGGCCACTCCGGGACGAAGCCAGTGGCAGCACTACAAAGCCCATGACTCTTCCTAAAACGGGCCAGTCGGGAAAGGTGCAACTCGCCTCCTTGGGAAGTTTTGGCACCAGAAACCTCCACAACCCTCCCTTTGGATTTTGGGGTGAAGGAGGTGGATGGCGGCAGGGGGGGGGCTTTGCTGGCAGACGGGCAGCTACTGACGCTCTGCTTTTTTCTTCCCCAGCTCAGCATCGTCGCGGCCCTGTCGGTCTGCCCCGTCCCCTGGAGAGCAGCAGCCATCTCATCAAGTGCCCGGGAGGAGCGCCAGCCCTTCGGCGTGCCCCCTGCCAGGGGGACCATGTCACAGGACAGCGGGGGCTCGGCCTAAAGTGAAGCCGGATGGCGGCACAAGCAGCCGTAGGGCTGGGCGTGGGAAGGCCAGACCCAGCCACGCCTCGGAGAGACTTTCCAAAGTGGAGCCGGCCACGGAGGGCCCACGGCGGGCAGACCCCGAGCCTGCCAAGGGGCTGGGCCATTCCTTGCGGCAGAAGCTGCAAGCCGCCGTGGGGCAGTGCTTCCCCATCAAGAGCTTGTCGCGCTCACCGGACCTCTCTTCCCAGCGCAAAATTCACCTCCGGGAATTGATGCTGGACACCTGCCCCTTCCCCCCCGGCTCGGAGTTGGCCCGCACGTGGAAGCTGATCAAGCAGCACACGGTGCCGGTCTCCGAGCACGAGGGCCTGGTCGCCCTGCCCCCCGAGGACGAAGATGACCGCCTGAGGGAACGCCGCCGCATCAGCATCGAGCAGGGCGTGGATCCACCACCAGACGCCTTGATCCATACCTTTGAGGTGACGGCGCAGATCAACCCTCTCTACAAACTGGGGCCAAAGCTCGCCCACGGCATGACCGAGTTGGCTGGGCCTGGCCGGACCGTGCTGACCGCCACTGATGAGCAGGATGAAGAGGAGGAGGAGGAGGAAGAAGAAGAAGAAGAAGAGCTGGAGTCAGCCTTTGCTGGGCTGCCAGAGGTCCGAGGCGGCCTGCGGGTGCACACCCAGATTGACTACATCCACTGCCTGGTGCCCGACCTGCTTCAGCTGACACAACTCTCCTGTTACTGGGGTGTGATGGACCGCTACGAAGCTGAGTCCCTGCTGGAGGGCAAGCCGGAGGGCACCTTCCTCCTGCGGGACTCAGCCCAAGAGGACTACCTCTTCTCCGTGAGTTTCCGGCGCTATGGCCGTTCTCTCCACGCCCGCATCGAGCAGTGGAACCACAACTTCAGCTTCGACGTCCACGACCCCAGCGTCTTTCACGCGCCCACCGTGAGCGGCCTCCTGGAGCACTACAAGGACCCCAGCGTCTGCATGTTCTTCGAGCCGCTGCTGTCCATCCCCATCCACCGCACCTTCCCCTTCGGCCTGCAGCACCTCTGCCGAGCCGTGGTGACCTCCTGCACCACCTACGACGGCATCGGGCACCTTCCGCTGCCCCGGGCGCTGAAGGAGTACCTGAAAGAGTACCACTATAAGCAGAGGGTCAGGGTGCGGCGCCTGGATACCTGGGGCACCTGATCCGTTCTTTGAGGACCACCAACCACCGATCAGCCTCCCGACTCTACCTGCTTTTCCTTCATGACAATTATTATTCTTAACCCGTCTTCTCTTAGCTGGCATTCTCCGGAACGGATGGGCACCATTTGCTGGTACGCCTAGCTAGCATGCTGGCTGGAAACACTGAGCATGGCAGCCTGGCACATCTGGGCAGCATTTGGGTGGAGAGAGTGGGCCCGTCTCCCTCCACGCGTTCCCAGGGTTGGGAGCACAAGGGTGTTTGCAGAGGCCTTTTTCAATTTGGGTGCAAAATCCAGCGTTGTAGAGACTTCGGGCTGCAGCGGAGGCCCAAAGGTTTTGCAAGCCAGAGCAAAAAATGAGGACTTCCAGTCAACCGGAATTCAGATGTCAAGGCAGCATCAAAGGCCGCAGGGGCCCCCTCCCCCTGCTAGACGGGAGGTTCGCCCCAACTGGTGGGCTCTTGCTGAGGGGCTCTGCGGCTGCCTCCACTTCCTTCCTGAGAAAAAGCACAACATTTGGGGGTTCAGGGCTGTTCCAAGCCAGGCGTTTGAGCACAAACGTCGGGTGGGAAGAGGAGCCGGTGCCCCTTGTTGGGTTCCGCCTCCAGCACAATCCCGCATTTTTTGCGCTTCTTCCATTCCTCCAGGTTGTACAGGTAGTCCTCGACTTGCCAGTTCATTTGGTGACCGTTTGAAGCATTGAAAAAAAGTGACTTATGACAGTTTTTCACATTTATAATTGTTGCAGCACTCCCGTGGTCACATGTTCAAAATTCAGACGCTTGGCAACTGGCTCGTATTTATGACGGTCGCCGTGTCCCTGGGTCACGTGATCCCCTTTTGCAACCTTTTGACAAGCTAAGTCAATGGGGCAAAGCCAGATTCGCTTAACGACTGTGCCACTAACTTAACAACTGCAGTGCTTCACTTAACAGCTGTGGCAAGTCGTAAAATGGGGCGAAATTCACTTGTCTCGCTTAGCAACAGGAATTTTGGACTCAACTGTGGTCATAGGTTGAGGACTACTGGTGATTGCTGCTCTGGGGAGACCTCGAAAGCACCCCAAATCCTGGTGGCCGCAGGGCAGCAGAGGGAAGCACAAGCGTCTTGCCTCGAGGGACACGACACGGCCGCCACAGATCCAGAAACCTCACCTGCGTTGTCCCTGGGTGTGTGGTTGTGAACGTCTCCACCTCTGAACTCCGGCTGTCGGGCTTCCTTCACAACCTGTCGCTCTGCACTGTTGTATATCATTAAAACCTCCTTGGTCCACTGCGCGTCGTGCTGCAGTTTCCTCTTAATAATAATAAAGTTGGAAGGGACCTTGGAGGTCATCGAGTCCAACCCCCTGCTCAGGCAGGAACGCTACACCATTTCAGACAAAAGGCTGTCCAGTCTCTTCTTAAAAACTTCCAGTGTTGGAGCATTCACCGCTTCTGGAGGCAGGTTGTTCCATTGGTTAATTGTTCTAACTGTCAGGAAGTTTCTCCTTAGTTCTAAGTTGCTTCTCTCCTTGATCAGTTTGTTTCTCGTGCCCAGCCTTCCCAGCCAGGGTGGTTTCACAAAAAAGGGGGGGGAGCCCCCAAAGCTTCCCCCACTGTGAAAAACCAGAGCTGATGGGAACAAGGTGTCCAAGCAGCCTGCAACTCTGCTCCCAGTACAGGGGGGCTCGAGAGCCTGACTTTGCTTTTTGAAAGGGAGCCCCCCCCCAAACAGACCTGGTCGGGAGGGGCTGTCTGGCTGAGCAGGGAGAGGGGGTCCAAAAGACTGGGAGGGGGCAGGTGTTGCCCCCGGGGAGCTGCTATGGAGGTGCCATAGAAGGAAGACCTGATAGATCGTTGCCCGTGTTAAGAACAAACCGGGGTTGGCTGCAGCCCGTTAGATGGAAAAACAGGGCTTCCCAACTTAGGAATAAATTTTCCCCAAATTGGGTTGTCATGTACACAAACTTATTATCCATCATAACAGGGGCCTTTAAATTGATGTGACGATTGCCACGTGTGCTAAAATGTATTAAAAATTTGGGTCCCCGAGTATTCCTATAAAGAGGAAGATTGCCAAACTCGTCAATGGCAATTGGCTAAAATGACAGAAAGCTCGTTTGGCGCCACTGCTTTTGTAATACAGGACATCCTCAAGTTACGACCGTTTGTTCAGTGACTGTTCCAAGTTAGGACGGTGCTCAAGGGACTTGCGAATGGGGGTCCTTAAAGTTCAGTGAGACCAAGAAGTGGTTTGAAGCAATCACCCCTCCCGTTGGCCGGAGCAGGGGGGGGGGTGATCCCAGAGGAAACCCACCAGCCCCCACCCCGTGAGCCTGGGCATTGACCCCGGGACTCCTCCAAGGCAAACACAGGAGTGGAACTTCAAAAGGCAAATCTCTATGGACTGCAGGCATCCAAGCTTAGTAGTTTCAAGACTTATGGACTTCAGCTCCCAGAATTCCACCACCAAGCAAGTCCACTGATGAGTATTCTGGGAGTTGAAGTCCATACACCTGGCAATGGCCAAGTTTGGGAAACGCTGTGCTTGAAGGTGGCATTAAGAAACATGGTGGTGTAGGATTTAAGGCTAATTCTGCCCACTGCCAGCAGTTCGATCCTGGCCTGCTCAGGGTCGACTCAGCCTTCCATCCTTCCGAGGTTGGTAAAATGAGGACCCAGATTGTTTGGGGGAGATAGGCTGACTCTGTAAACTGCTTAGAGGGGGCTGTAAAGCACTGTGAAGCGGTATATAAGTCTAAGCACTAAGTGCTGTAGGGAGAACCTGGGGGGGGCGGAGTTAAAAGAGGTATTGGCCTGGCATCCCTACATAGCCATAAGTGAACTAAGTCCAGCCCCATATCTAACTCCAAGCAGATGCCAACTATTGACAGAAGATTCCTGCGCACAGGCCCTTAGCAATATATCAGCTTAACTGGATCTTCACCTGTGGGTCTTTCACACCCGACACTCCCCAATGCGGGCTCAGTCGGTCCGAAGAAGCTGCTCTTCCTTCAACAGGGTGCCCAGCCCCCCCCCCCAAGGCAGACAACCCAGATATTCCCCAATCAGAAATGACTCGGTGGTCAGACCTACCATCTTTAAATACCTCCCACCCCAGATTAGGTGCTCACTGCAGAGGATGAGACCCCGATGATTGGATTAATCTCGGTGAGCCCGCCATCCTGGGGACCCCAGTGGTAGAGAGCAAGGCAATCTTTTAGCAGCCCCCTCCCACCCCCTTGCTGAATTTCTCCAACCGAAATACCGAGCTGGGTCAAGACCCCCTCCCCAACCCTAATAAACCAAGCACTTAAAAAAAGAATACAAAATAAGCACAGCTTTATCATAGAGGTTAATAAAAAAAGGACTAATGCTTAAATTCTGTATATGCCTTTTACAAAGCAAAAAACCAGAAAGGGGGGGGGGAAGCAGCAAAGGAGTCCAACAAAGCAATCTAAAGTCAGAATTTGATCTTTTTTTTTTTTTGTAAAACATTTTGTGTGTGTTTTTTTTTTTAAATAACGTATTCATGGTTACCAGCCATAGTCATAACAAAAGTTATTCATAATAAAATGTATCTAAAATAACATTTCTATTTCAAACAGGAACCTTGTCTCTCTACTTTTTTTTTTTTTTTTTTTTTAAGAAATACAGTAGCTCTGTCTGGTTTGTTTTTCTCCTTTTTTTGTTTCATTTTGTTTTTGTACACTACTCTTCGGTATACACTTTGGAAAAAGGCTTTTCAGACTTCGAACAGCTCTCGTCGGTGTGAAAGAGGAGAGGGGACTCGGCGAGAATTCGGTACCTAAGAACTGGCCGACGCTGGTGGACGGGGAAGGGGCTACAAAGAGACGCTGCCACCCCCAGCAGGGGCACCACGCCCAGCTAGAGGGGGCAGAACCCACAGGACGCCCCCCCCAGCCCCTTACCTTACTGGGCAAACTACCCTTGCCCCCCGGTTGTGAAGCCCCCAATACCCACCCTCGCTCGTCCTCTCACCCTGCTTACACGGACCTGCTATCAAGAGGTAAGGCTGGTCTTTGCCAGTCCAGCCCTGCCCGTCTTTCCTGGCACTGCCACCCCGGGGAAAGGGGGGAAAGGCGGGGGGGGGGCAGGTAGCAATGTCCTCCCCTCCCTCCTGCAGTAAAGCTCTCCGAAACTAGGAAACTGTAAACAAGGCGGCGCAGACCGGCTGGAGATGTGCGAAGAAGGGTGTCCGGCCTGACGGCCCCCCTCCCCACGACCCTCACCCAAATCTTGTAGCCCACTGGGATGCACCCCCAAAGTCTTTCCTCCCCCCTCCCAGTCCCAATTAGCCACGATGATCCTGGATCACTTGCATGCCAGCATCTGATCAAGTTCTTTTTCCTGGCTTTGCAAATATCATCCCATCTGCTCCTCAACTTTGCTAAGTACCAGGAAATTGGGTGGAGGGGAACACACACACACACACACACACACAGACGCACGCACGCACACCCCGTCCTCAGGTCCTGCTATGGCCAGTTTGCCCTGGTCCTACCTCCGCCCTCTCCCCATCGCCCCTTTCAACAAAGGAAGACACACAATTACTCAACCCCAACGATTGAACTAGAGAAAAACTCTTGACCAGTTTTGGGAGATGCTGCACAGGCGTTCCGACCGTTTACCCCCTCCCCCTTCCTGCCCCCCTCCACAACCTGGGGGGGGGAGGTTAGGGAAAGGGAAGAGAAGAAAGAGAGTCTGGAAGCCGTGCCCGGAACTCAAATCAGCTCAACTGAGAATTCGGCTTCTGAAACTGGTGACCTCCGATCCACCCACCCAAACTGCTTCAACAGAACTAGGCTTAATACTGCCACATTTTAAAAAAAAAGAAAAAGAAAAGAACAACAACAACAACACAAAAAAAAGCCTCACCGGGCAGGAACTGAAGGGGTTCAGAAAAAAAATCCCACGCTATTTCTGGGAGATGCCTAAGCTACTCTGCCCGGTTCCTCAAAAGAGCTGGAGGTTGTTTCGAGAGCGTAAAAATGAAAACGAACCCCAATTGTGTGCTGGACACCCCCGTCCTCCCTGGGCCGTTCCCTGGGGTCCCCCCCTCCCACCCCACTCACCAGTCTCGGTGGAAGCAAGTAATAGAGGCACTTTTAAAATTTTACAAGTCACCTGCTGCACCCTTTCCCTCGCCCGCCTCCCTGCAGAGACCCAAAACTAGCGGTGAAATTGCCCAGGTGAGCCAGCCTGTCTCGTTCCCCCCCAAAAAAAATCCCCGATACAAGGGGAGGGGTCTTTCGGCGGCGTGAACTCTGTTTCTACTCAGGTGTCCTCTTGGATTACCTCCCCTGTTCCTTCCTTACGCAGAAGGCAAGGAGAGAGAGGTGGTAGGCACTGGAAAGGCGGGGAGGGGGCTGAGAGAGGGAAAACAAATCGGGAAAAGAATTATACCGGGCCTAATTTAGGCCCCTGCATCTGCACGTTAAACCGGGGAGACCGCCACCTCCCCTGTACATCAAAATATTAAACCAATATCTGAAGTTATAAGAATAATAAAAAATAGAGGAAAAAAAAATATTAGAACGCAATAAGATGGTAAAGATTGTAGTGACAGGTTTTTTCTCCTCTATTCCTCTGGCTGCTAAGGAATGCTGGAGAAGGAGGGATTTTTTTTTTGGGGGGGGAGGAAAACAAAAAATTATTCAGCTACCCCCGTAGTGACACACCCCTGGGGGAGGGTTTAAAACAAAAACAAAAAACAAAAAAAAAACCCGAAAAAGGAATGGGAGGAGAAAAAAAATAAAACAGCCATCCTAAAGCTTCTCATAATATGCCCGCAGATCCAGCTTGTTCAGATGGTTGAGGTCTTGTCCGTGCCATCTGCAAAAGAGAGGACAGGGGTAAGGGTCACGGGTGTTTTCTACACATGGGGGCGTGGGTGGGTGGGCTTTGATGTCCTGGGGATCTTGGAGTCTTCTCAGGTTGGGTATAAACAGGAAATCCCACACAAAGAGGGGTTAGAGCAGGGCTGGCCAACCATGGCAACTTTCAGACTTGTGGACTTCAACTCCCAGAATTCCTCAGCCTGGCACGTTGGCTGAGGAATTCTGGGAGTTGAAGTCCACAAGTCTGAAAGTTGCCAACTTTGAAGAGCCCTGCTCTATTGCTTAGACTTATATCCACTTTTCCTTCAGAAGGTCAAATTGGTGCACGGGGCCCTTCTAAATTTTTGCCCACCGTAACTCAGCAAGTAGGCCGAGCTGAGAGAAAGCAGCGGGGAGGACCGCCCCGTCAGACTGCTGACATGCGTGTCGCCCAATCCTAGTTCCAGACCTTATTATTATTATTATTATTATTATTTCATAAACTTCTATGCCGCCCTTCTCCCCAGAGGGACTCAGGGCGGCTCACAGCATGTTAAAAAACAAAACAAAAAACATTTCCCCTATAAAACCAATTAAAAAGCAAATATATTAATAGCTGTGTCATATTTAAAATCTTTGAAAATTTTTAAAAATTATTCCCTATTTAAAATTCACCC